TTGTCATCCCGTGCTGCCTTTTGAAATCTTCTATTCAACTCTTTAGTATCTTGAATTCTTCCCTGTGCTTTGGCTTCTCTGCGCTCCAGTGCAAACCAAAACCACAACTTTTTAAAATAAAACTTTGATGAAGACTGTACACATGGGCTTTGCCTGATACAATACACAAGAATCAAACCGATTACATCTGTGAAAAGATTTGATGGAGATACGTATCAACAGTCAAAACAGGCCAAGGGTTGGCTAGAAATTATCAATAAACCATATGCAAAATCATAATCCATCTGAAAAAAAATTAAAACATGTCATCAGAACCAAAGCATGACCTTGAGTCATACATAAGAATCATATTTAGAACAGACTGAACACTAATTATCAAAGGACTAAATGAGTAGAGGGATAATATGAGGACATTTTACACAAAAAGCACAAAAGTTGATTAAACAACAGAAAAGGGGGGGAAAAAAACCAACACCAAAAACCCAAAAACAACAACAACAAATATGTCAAAAAAGAGTTTGAAACTTGCTCTGGAATGGAGTATTAAAGAAAAAGGCAGAAATAATGAAAAAAGAGAGTGCAGCAGAACATATCAAAGGAGAGTATGAGAAGATAAAAATATTATAATGAAATGTACAAAGACCTGGAATTAGGAAACCAAAGAAAAGGACACGTTTAGTATTTCCCAGGTTGAGAGACCTGAAGCATAAACTCAAGTCTTGAGTTGCAAAACAGAAAGAGTCTACAAATAAAAGTTGCGGTAATTATCTAAAGACAGCAGAAAGAATACAAATAACTATACCTGAAAGCATTGGCCAGCACTGGACCGTGTATCTTCAAGAACCAAAAGGACTGAGGAATTCCAAAATGCACTGAAGACATTGGTGAAAATAAGGTTCTAGAATTGGACATAATACCATCTAAGGTGTTTTAGCAAACAGATGCAGCCTGGATGTGCTCTCTGCCACAAAATTTGGAAGATCTATGTAACTAATTGGAAGACAGTTATATTTGTTTCTACTCCAGAAAAGAAGTGATCCAACAGGACACAGGACTCATGGAACAATATAATTTATATCCAGCTCAAGTTAAATCTTACTCAACATTATACAAAAAAAGGCTGGAGCAATATAGAAACAAGAAAATTCCAAAAATTGAACCTGGATTAAAACATTGTGGAAGGAAGTATATCAAGTTGATATCAAGTGGATTTCAGATGATATCAAGTGGATTTCAGATGAATGCAAAGAGTATCAGAAGGATGTTTACTTGTGTTTTAAATCAATAACACAAAGGCATTCACATAAAAAAATTAGAGATAACACTGGCAAGAATGGGAATTCTAAAAACACTTAAATACAGAATCTGTACATGGACCAAAAAGCAGTCATTTGAACAAAACAGGGGATACTGTATGTTTTCAAATGAGAAAAGGTGTGTGTCAGAGTTGTATACCTATTTGATATGTATGCTAGTCAAATTATTCAAGAAACTAGACTATTCAAAAGGCATGAAACTAAAATCCACCAGTTGCTCTGTAGAAGAAGGATGGACAATCTCTTCTCATGTGATTTATTGCCTCTGAAGACCCACTGGAGGGTCAGCCTGAGTCAGTTCTAACTCTATTGCACACAACCACCACCACAGCCTATATATAGAAAAATGTGGCATTGGCAATGAAGGAAACCTGATCAGAAACTCATGTCATCAAAATGGCACAACTCTACTTGTTGCACAATGAAGAACTGAAGTACTTACTAAAGAACTGAGTCATAGCTGAAGCTCCAATGTGTTTTGTGAGGTTATAAATCTTACAGACAGAAATTTTTGCTTGTGGATTCAAATCACCACGATCTTTAAGTTAGCAGCATATCACTATGGGCTATGCAAACAAAAGTTCTCACTTGTGGACCAGGATGTGACATCTTGACAGATGAACAAAAGACTGACATTCTCAATTATTTAATTTCACTTCAACATTCATCACAGCAGCAGGTAGGAAACCAAATAACATGTTGCATTGGAAAAATAAGCTGTCAAGGACATCTTTAAAGTACTAAAGAGCAAGAATGTGAGTGTAAAGACAAAGGTGTCTCTAATTCAAGCTACAGTCTTTTTACACTGCTTTGAATGCATTTAAAGTTATATGATAAGTGAGGAAGAAACAATGCCCTTAACTGTAGTGTGAAGAACACTTGAATATACTACTTACTAGACTTCAAAAAGAACAAACAACACAATGTATGATAATGATGGTACGAAAAATAACGGAGGAGTGAAGGAAAAATAATGTGAATGTGTACAAACAAAACTCAATGTATATGAATTCTGTATGCAAACCAATATAAAATAATCTTGGGGGAAAAAAACCAAACTAACAAATTAATGTTGGAGGAAATGCCTTGGAGAGTAGGCTGGTCAAAATTTGTCTCAAATAATTTAAGTATGTTGTCAGGAAGCACCTGGAAGAAAACATGATAGTTGGAAAACTGGAGGCTTAAAAAAAGAGGAAATCCTTCAACAAGATGGACTGACATGGTGACTGCAATAATGGGCTTAAGTATTGTGGAGTTCATGAAGATGGCAAAGGACATGGCAAGGTCACAATCTGTTGTTCTTGGGGGTCATTGTAACAGTCAACTTGAGAGCAATCAACAATAATAACAATAAAGCACAGAATTTTATTCACCACTGTTGATAATGGTATTTACCTGTTGCTGTCTTATCACGAAATTCTTCAAGTTTTGTCAAAGTTGCTGAAGTTAGCTGTGTTAGATGTACATCTTTTGGTGGTCTGAAGAATTCTACTATACTATTTACTGTCCTCTGTTGAAAAAAAGCATGAGTAAGATGAGGCACAAGCAAAAGCAAATTGAAATAGAAGTTGGTAATTTAAAAAATGCTTACTGCATCATACAGCATTTCTACAGGTTCGGCTTCAATGATACACCTCTGATCAACAGTTTCATCTGATGGATTTATCTCAAAAATAATTTGGAAAAGTGAGGTAGCATCATCCACTGAAGACAAGAGACGAGGTTTTGTTAAATTATCTGGTAAGCCAGTAACACGAAATGAGTCTATTTTGGTTTCAAATCTGTATAAAAAGGGGGAGCACAAATCTGGTTGAGTAATACAATTTTATTTTTCAAATTCAATTGTTGAATAACAATTTCACTCTCCATTCTAATTGTATAAAAGAAAATCAACAACTATTCCATCTAAAATCACACAAACTAATACACAAAGAATCTAGCTGCATGATGATTTCTAGGCTAATAAAGGTAAGGAGAAGCTGATGTTTTGCTAATAATGTATTTTAAAAAACCCAATAAGTTCATACAAAATTTAGTGTCTATAAATCTGTAAAGTCTCTCAAACCTAAAAATAAGTTTATAATAATTTCTTTTTCTAAGAATAAAAAACCATGACAAACAAAAAGCACCAGCAAAGGATTTCTAGAATATATTTGTCTGAGCAGTTCAGAGACCCTATCTCTACCAGAATAATTAGTGAAACAACTGATGAACAATGAAGACTCTGGAACTTGAATAAAAAAAAAGATACACAGCAAATGGGTATACAATTTTTTTTTTAAATCTACAAAATACTGACAAGAACAGGGAGAATCTTTGGCATTTAAGCGACAGCATCCTTCCATCTCCACCCTCAGGACTATGTTACAAAAGGGCTACAGAAATTGGTACAATCAAGAAGGGAGCTTGCTTTTCTCTTAAAAAAATCTAAGATTACTGTTTGACCAAAGGAGGAGCAAAAAAAGGTCCCACATCTTCCATTTCTCATCTCTACCACCCTAGCTACATATTAAACAAACTTCATCCCAGGCAGATATAGTCAAATTAAATAGAGTTCCTTTTTTCCACCCATTTTCTACACATAAATAGAGTTTTTATTCAAGTACCAAATTGTGATAACACCAGGGTCCTAATACACCTTTCTCAGTTTTCTGGTAAAGCAAAACTCTCATGCCATAAAAGGCAAGTATTCACCAGAGTCAACTGTGTCATAAGGCTGTCAATTTAAGTGTGCTGCTCTACCACCCACTGACTGTAACGAGGCCCAGGTTCTAAGCAAAGGTGGGAGATTGGAAGGATGAGCAGCTGTGCCTTAGGGAACTGACATTATTTACAAGAGAGCATAAAAGCTCCTGCACCCAAGCATTGCACAAAATAATAGAGACTAGATGGACTCTAGTTGTTCTTACCCACTACTTATCAAATAAGGGAAAAAATAAAAAACCAACTCACAAAAGAACTTATAAAAGTGACTGCTGTTATTTCTAGTCAACATTATTCAGCACAATCCTGATATCAAAGTCAGGCAGAAAAACCACTCAAAAGATCAATACCCCTCATGAACACATATGTAAAAATCTTCAACAAAATTCTAACTAATAAAAAAACTATTCTTCATGATCATGTGAGATTCATACCAGGTATGCAAGGATGGTTCGACCTTAGAAAAATAATTAGTGCAATCTACCACATGAATAAAACAAAGGAAAAGAACTGTATAACCATCTCAATTGATGCAGAAAAAGCATTTGGAAAATGTAACAACCTTTCTTGGAAAAAAAAAAAGATCAACAAAACTGGGATAGAGGGGAAATTCCTCAACATAATAAAGCACATATATAAAATTAACAGCTAATATTGCTCTAACAGAGAGAGGAATCAGACAAGGTTGCCCTTTACCACTACTTCTATTCAGTATTGTATGATAAATCCTAGTCAGAGCAATAAGGCAAGAAAAGGAAATAAGTGACATCCAAATTGTCAAAAAAGAAATAAAACTCACTCTATTTTCAGATGTTATGACCCTATATCTAAAAAATTCCAAAGACTCAGCAAGAAAATTATAAAATATAATTGATTGATTCAGTAAAATGGTATAGTACTACTTTATAGTTACAAAGAAAATTCTGAAAAGGAACACAATGTCATTTACTATAGGCATTCAAAAGATGAAATATTTTTAAATAAATCCAACAAGAAATTTTAAAAAAAGACTTATACAAAGAAAACTACAAAACACTACTAAAAGAAACTCAAAGATATCTCCGTAAGTAGAAAAGTATACCATTCTCACGGATTGAAAGACTTAACATTTGAAAATGGCAATACTACTAAAAGCAATCTCTATATTATCCATCTATCTAAAATGCAGTCTCAATCCAGACCCCCTCATCTTTCAAAGCATTGGAAAAATAGTCACCAACTTCACATGGAAAGAGATCCTGCCTGGATTAGCAAAGTGATACTGAAGAAAAAGTAAGGGGTCTCAAATTCCCTGATCTCATAACCTACTACACAGCCACAATAACAAAAAAAATTTATACTGGTACAGACACAGTTCACAGGTTAATGGAACAGAATTAAAAATTAATAAAATATAATTATAGAAAAAAAAATTCAGAAATAAATTCATCTATCTATGGACATATAGTCTTTGACGAAGATATGAAATCTATTAAGTAGGGGAAAATAACTTTAACAAACCTTGCTAGCAAAACTAAATATTTGCATAAAATTAAAACAAGATCTACACCTCTCACAATACACAAAAACTAACTTAATAATTAACTCTAGATGTAAAATCTACAACTATAAAGGTCATCAAAGAAAAAAATTAGTGCAAGCTTAGAACTCTAATTTATGGCATAAATAGACTATTAAATACAACCCAAAATATAGACAAAGCCGAGGATAACTAGGCAGTTGGGATCTTTTAAAAACTAAATTTTTATGTGCATCTTGGTATGTGGTTCAAGTTCACCAGCATTCCATGGCAGAAGGATGAGCAATCTCCTCCTTCGCAATTAACTGCCTCTGAAAGCCTTCTGTAGGGTTCGCTATGGGTTGGCTATGACACAACAGACACAACAACACAATGATGTACAGCTAAACATTTCCCAAAAGAATAAAAAGAGAATCTATAGACTGGTAAAAAATATTTGGCGATAGCACATTTGACAAGGGCCTCATACCTAAAATTTACAAAAAACCTCCCAATACCTCAAAAAGAAAAACACAACCTAATCACAAAAAAAAGAGACTTGCTGTTACAAAACTGAACTAATCGACTCTACACCAAGTAAGACATGTCTTCACAAGGCTAGATACTTCAAACAAGACATCCAGATGGCCAAGAAATACGTGAAAAATGCTTGAAATCATTAGCTGTTGTTAATGTCTTTATGTGTCGAGTTAGAAATGACTCATAGCTGACCCTCCAATGGGTTTTCGCAGGCTGTAAATCTCAAAGAGATTGACCATCTTTCGTCCTCAGAGCAGCTGGTTAATTCGAACCACTTGCCTCTGGGTTAGCAGCACAACCCCTTACCCACTAGGCCAACAGACTTCCTCATTAGCTACTGTTATTATGCACAGTGAAATCAGAATAAATCTGTAACTGATCATCCAGTGAGTTTTCAGAACCAGAATCACATGGAAGAAGACTGTCAATCATTCTCCCTCAGAGCAGCTGGTGGATACCAACGGCATGCTTTTGTGTTAGCAGTATAATTCTTTACCACTAAGCCACCACAGTAATTCCATGCAAAGGCGCTTGACTGTGTGGATCATAACAAACTGTGGCTGACTCTGAGAAGAATGGGAATCCCAGAACATTTGATTGTGCTAATGCAAAACCTATACTTGGACCAAGAGGCAGTTGGCAGAACAGAGCAAGGAAACACTGCACTGCATGGTTCAAAATTGGGAAGGGCATACGCCAGGGATGTGTCCTGTCTCCATACCTTTTCAACCTGTATGCAGCACTGATTATCCGGGAGGGTGGGCTCTACGAGGAAAAATGTGGGGTCAAGACTGGTGGAAGACCTATCAACAAACTGCGTTATGCAGATGACACAACCCTGCTTGCAGAAAATGAGGAGGACCTGAATTGCTTGCTGCAAGAGGGTCAAGGACTGTAGCCTCCAATATGGATTGAGGCTCAATGTCAAGAAGGCAAAGATCTCACCACCGGACCAATGGGCAGCATCAGGATGGATGGTGAAGAGATTGAGACTGTCCATAGCTTTAGTTTGTTTGGCTCCACAGTGAACACTCTTGGCACCAGTAGCCAAGAAATTAAAAGACGTATTGCGATAGGAAAGTCTGCTGTTAGGAACCTCTAAGTACTGAAGAGCAAAGGTGTCGCTTTGGAGACTAAGGTGCGTCTGATACAGGCCATGGTCTTTGCAATCACTTTTTATGCATCAGAGAGTTGGACAATAACTAAAGAGGATAGAAGGAGAACTGATACCTTTGAGCTGTGGTGCTGGAGAAGAGTATTGAGGGTACCATGGACTGCTAGGAAAACAAACAGATTCATCCTGGAAAGGATCAAACCAGACGGCTCCTTGGAGGCAAAGATTCTGAGGCTCCATCTAACATAATTTGGACATGTTGTAAGGAGAGACCGGTCCTTGGAGAAGGACATCATGGTTGGGAGGATGGAGGGACAGCCCAGGAGGGGAAGGCCCTCTATGAGGTGGATTGATTCAGTGACTAGGGGTAATCGGGATGGGTGTGTTAGAGAGTGTGAATGGCACAGGACAGACCAGAGTTAGGGCTGTTGTACATAGGGTCGCTATGAGTCGCAAGCGACTCGATGGCACATAACAATAACAACAAAGAGAAATATGAAAATCAAAAAAGTAGTAAGGTATCATCTCATCCCAGCTACAACAGCAAGGTAACAGATGACAAATGCTAGTAAGGTAGTGGAGAGCTTGGAATTTTCATGTACAACTGGTAGGAATAGAAAAGATGTGACCACTATGGAAAGCAGATTGGCACTTGTTTAAAAAGATGGAAAAAGAAATACCACTTGATCTCGTAATCCCACTACGATTTCTATCCCAAATAAACATGGTTTAATATACAAACAAAAGCACACTCATGTTTATTCCAATATTATTTACAATAATAAAGTGTTGGAAACAATTCAAGTATCCATCAACTAAGAAAGGCTACAGAAACTACGGTACATGCATGCAGTGGATTACTAAATTATACATTACTAAATAAAGATCAAGAATTCATGAAATACTGTACAAGATGAATAAATCTAGGACAAGTGATGCTGAGTGCCAAGTCTTTCACAAAAGTATAATTATAGCATAAGACTATTATAAAAAGCAAAGGGAAGGTATACACACAAAGAGAATCAATCTTTAGAGTTAAAAGGGATGGAAAGGGAATACAAGGCAAGTAAAAATTAATAAATAGTTAAGCTGGGTGAAGAGAAAAGAAACATAATAATGGTTGATTAGACATTGTAATTAACTACTTTAATAAACGGTAATTAATATTATAACAAAAATATTCATTATTGATTGCATGGGAAAAAAAGTAAATTTATAAACCTCCACTGAAATAAAAGTATTAAAATGTTGTGTTTTTATTTTATACTACTTTATACTTCCAAATTACATAATATACATTGTTTTTCATAATGGATCGTTCCCATTTCCTTCACCTCTCCCACCCATCCATCAAATTGAGCCACCTTATATTCACCACCCCGCCACCCTTCCTCACCTATCTGCTCCCACTCGCACCCTACACCACCCCTGGATCCTCATACTCATTCTATAATAATGGTCTTATACAGTGTTTGTCCTTATGGGACTAAGTTATTTCACTTAGCATATTGCTCTCCAGTCTCTCCCAAGTTAGGTAGTAATTTACAAAATCATTGCTCCTGCATGCTGTGTAGAGAAGATGCAAATAAAAATTGAAATGACATAGCACTTCACAAACACAATTATAACTAATATAAAAAAGAAGGGTTTTTTCAAAAAGAAAATGATTCCAACAGCCAGACAGTCTTGACCTACAGAACCCTCACTGCTTTTAGGAATGTAGAAAGGTGAAGTCACTTCGGAAAATAGGCAATTCTTTACAAAGTTAAACAAAGTAAATGTAAATTTCACTCTCAGTATAAACTTAAGACAAATAAAGGCACATGTCTACATAAAATCTACTATATGAATATTCATAACAGTAAAAATTTGCTAAGAGTCTAAATGTTACTATTGTAAGTTTAGACAAAATATACATCCTTAAAATGGAAAACTAAATATCTGAGAATAAAAGTAAGTATAAATACATACAAGAGCGTGTAAAAACTTAGAAGACATTATGCTCTTCGAAGTCAGTCTGATACAGAAGACCACATATTGTACGATTCTCTTTACATGCATTATCCACAACAAACAAATCCACAGAGGATGAAAGTGGTTGCCAAAGAAAAGGAGTAATGTGAACAGTTACTAATGAATTTAGGGTTGCTCTTACGTGTTGAAATTTTCTGAAGCTACATAGTGTTGTACATGCTCATAAATACAAAAAAAGTCAATGGATTAGTCTTTATAAACTAACAAAAAAAATTAGTAAACTATATTGTATATCTCAATAAGACTTTTAAAAATAAAGGTAAAATAATGACATTCTGCTAATGACAAACTGTTAATGTTGTCACCTTTTGTGTAGGACCTTCTGATATTTTTTAATTATGTGGTATCTTTCTTCTATGATTCCTTAACATATAATTTTCTACTAAGCATGTATTCTTCAAATAATTCCAAAAAATAAATCCAATAAAAAAAGAAAGCAAACAAAATTCCTTAAATTACAAAGTATATTTCTAAACCATAGCATTCTTCACCCATGATTATAAGATTATGACTTAATTTTCAACCACACTGTGAAATATTTTCTTAATACAGCATAGAAAAAAATGCATTTATACTTACTTTATTGCTTGTGCTCCTGGTCTTTGCACAATTAAAGTACTGAACTCTTCTAATAAAATCTCTAACAGTTCTGGTTTTTGGTGATTTTCTCTTAGAACAATAGATATACTTTTCAAATGAACGAAAAATTTCATGGCTTCAAACTAGAGTATATTCAGAAGAATAAAATGAAAAATAGAAAAGCATAATAAATAAAATTTGTACAGATTATTCATTTTAAAAAGTATACATACTAACGTTTACATTCATATTTGAAAGTAAACATTTCCCTATTAAGAATTACCATATAACATCAAAAAGTAGGTGGCAATTTTTCCCACGACCAAACACCTAAAGATCCAAAGGAAGATTATAGAACAGATTAGTAAGAAATATAATTATCTAAGGACTAAAGATAGGTACTCTAAGATTAAACTCCAATGTGTAAGGCAGAAAAAACACTTACTGTTTTTGGCAAGGTTGGATCACCTGCTGTTTCACTGTAACCGATTGCTTCATAGAGTTTAGCTTTTTCTTCAAGTGTCAACATTTCTTCAAGAGCTACAAATGAGATCAGTACTTTGCTATTTAACTTATACCAAAATATAACCAACTCATAATTTACTTACCTTTTGTAAGTAAATGATAAAAGAGATTTTCATTCTACAGTACTTTTAAGAGATTAGAGCAATTGAGTAAGACTGCATTGGTAACTTTAGAAGTTACTCCTCCAATTTAGAAATTACTAAATATGTAAATTGACAACTTATTTCTTAACGTTTATACAGAGTAAGGGTAAACATAATAGCTAACAGTGTAGGCACTTAATGACATTGTACTGTTGTTGTTGATTACCATTGAGTGAACCAAGACAAATAGCAAACCAAATGAACAAAAGGCCTGAAGCCTTTGTATAACTACCATCATTTCTCCAAGTTCATAGAGTTTCAAGAAGCATGTGGTTTAGGAATTAGATGCCACTTATGCTTCCAAACCTTTTTTAAACTGTGAGCTTAAACAATCACTGTCCACCATGGGCAGTCATTATGGCACCTGACCCCCCACAAATAGCACAAGGTTTGACATCACAGCAAACCCAGATTACCTCAGTACAGCAAATAGACAGAGTGCTGCTGTTCAACTCAGAAGAATGTTCCTCCAAAATAAAAAACACTAGGCCCTTGGGCACAACTGAATTTTAAATACAAGGGCCCTCCATATATATATGTGAGCAAAAGGCCTGAAGCCTTTATAACTTTTGTTGTTTCTCCAAATTCATAGACTTTCCAGAGGAATGTGGTTTAGGAAGTAGATGCTACTCCTGCTTTCAAACCTGAATCAATCTAGGATTCCACTCCACCAACCACTGCCCAGGATATGTAGTCATTATGGTGTATGACACACCTAATGGCACAGCTGACCCATTATGGCATTTGAGACCCCAATGGCACAAGGTTCAGTGTCACAGCAAACTCAGATTACCTCAGCACAGCAAATTGACAAAAGTGCTCTTAGAAGAATGTTCCTTCAAAATATAGTAACAAGGGATTGAAATATAATCCCTGTGGCCCAACTTTTAAATACAAGGGCCCTCCAGGAGGTCTTGTTGACTCTAAACAAGGGACCTAAGAAAAAAAAACCAACCAAACATTCCATTCTGACCCTCCCTCAAAAACAAGAGAGCCCACCTTATAAAATCCAGCTGCATCACCCAGTTTCCAAAATGGAGACAAGGGCTTGGATTTAAATGCAAGTGCCCTCCAGAGGGTCTTGTTGACTCTAAACAAGAGGCTTAAATAAAAAACAATCACACAATCCACACAGATCCTCAACCAAAACAAGACCAACATCTTACAGAATCCAGTCACTTCATCCAACTCCAAAATGGAGATAAGGGCCTGGCAGCAGCAGTCATAAGTTGTTGTTGTTGTTAAGTGCCTTCAGTAGTGACCCTCTAAACAAAAGACCTTAACCTTGTTCTATAACTACTATCATTTTTCCAAGTTCACAGAGTTTCCACAGGCATGTTTAGGAAATGGATGCCACTCCTGCTTCCAAGCCTGTCTTAATCTGTGAGTTCTACCAAACATTGTCAACCATGTGTTAACCATTATGGCATCTGACACACCAATGGCAGACACATTGTTCAGTATCACAGCAATCCCAAGTTACCTCAGTATAGCAAAACAGCAAAATAGTGCTGTACCACATAGAATGTACATTTCAAACAGAATTAAAACCAGGCCCAAGGGCCAAAGGCCCCTGGGTCCAAATGAATTTTCAAAAACCCCAAGCCTGCACACCAAGCTCTCTTTGGCTCCTACAAAAGGCTTCCAGCCCACTGTGACACAATATATTTAACATACAGAGTAAGTGAGGTTAATAACGATTTTTCCCATTTTTAAGATGACAAAACTGAAGTTTAGTATGATCCTTAAATTTTTTGCCATGTTCATGCCTTTACAAAGTGATGAATCTGAAATATGATCACAGATTTCTAAGCCTCCAAAGCTTTCTTTGATACTAAATATTTGGTCATATGTTAAATAAGTAGGAAAGAAATCTTAGAAAGAAACAACAACTGTTCATATCATTCGAGAAATTATTTTCAACTCATATATTAGGAGCTGGGCTATATGAGGAGAAACGTAGCATCAGGATTGGATGAAGACTCAACAATCTATGTTATGCAGAAGACACAACCCTGCTTGCTGAAAAAGAGCAGGACCTGAAGTGCTTATTACAAAAGAACAAAGACTGAATTAAATATGGATTGAAGCTCAACATCAAGAAAACAAAGATTCTCACCATTGGGCAGATTGGCAGCATCATGATAGACAATGAAAAGATTGAGATTGTTCACAGCTTCCATTTGCTTGGCTCCACAATCAACACTCTTGTTATCAGCAGACAGTAAATAAAAGGATGAATTGCATTGGGAAAATGTGCTGTCAGAGACCTCTCCAAAGTACTGAACAGCAACAATGTCAGTCTGGAGACTAAGGTGTGCCTGATTCAGGCCATGGTCTTTGCAATTGCTTGCTATGCATCAGAAAACTGGACAATGACTAGGGATGATAGAAGGAGAATTGATGCCTTTGAGCTGTGGTGCTAGAGAAGAGTATTGAATAAACCAGGAACTGCTAGGAGAACAAAGAGGCTCATCCTAGAGAGGGTGAAATCAGGCTGCTCCTTGGAGGCAAGGATTCTGAGAATTCATCTGACATAGACTGGACATGCTGCAAGGAGGAGCCAGTCTTTAGAGAAAGACTTCATGCTTGGGAGGGTGGAGTGACAGCGCGAAAGGAAGATCGCTGAAGAGGTAGACTGATTCAGTGATTGGGGTAAAAGGGGAAGTATGTCAGAGACAATAAAATTGGCACAGGACAGCGCGGGGTACAGGGCTCTAGTACACAGGGTTGCTATGAGTTGCAAGAGACTCGACAGCACATAACATTATTACAAGCATGCACTCAATCCTTAGAAGACAAATTGTAAGTAGTAAAATAAATTATTTTATCTCTCATTTCTCTTACATATATTAGTGAGATCACTGGGCCAAAAATAGTCTGCATGTGACTAGTAACTGAAAAATAAGTAGATCAAATCCACCCAACAGCACTGCACAAAAAATATCTAGCAAGATACTTTCTGACAGGTTCCTATCTTAATCAGGTTTTTGTTTTCACAGGTTTTACTCTATGTACAAATCTAACACAGCCACAGATATATAAAGCAAATTGGTTTTTTATCAAATCATGGTTATTCACCATCATCAAGAGTTGTCCTAGGATTTGAAGAGGGGTTCACTGTTAGAAAATTACTCTATATAACATAGTAGTTAATAAATTCCATGCAAATAAATTCATGATCACCTTGGTCAATATAGAAAAGTAATTTAACAAAATGTAAAACTTTTCATGATTGAAAACAGTTAAATAAGAAAGTTAAGGGAAATTCCTCAATTTTATAAATACAGTGTACGAAAATGTCACAGCTAATATTATCTCAATAAAGAAAGACTTTCTCATTAATATCAGGAACACCACAATGATGTCTCTCACCACTGGTATTCACATTTGCAATGGAAATCCCAGGAAAAACAAGTAGTGAAGAAAATGAATAAAAAGGCACGTAAATCAGAAAGGCACATACAAAGGTATCCCTCATCAGAGAGAGTAAGGGCCAATTAAAAAAACAAAACACCAACAAAACCAAAGGAATAAATAAGAACAGAACTAAAGCTGGGATCAAATTGACACCACAACAGCAACTTAAAAAGTTAGAAGAGAAAGAGGGCATCTGTTTAAATTAATGGTGGCAGATAATAGCAAAAAGAAGTGCGAATGGTTACATGACCTTTCTTTTGTTTTTATCCCCCTCCACAGTCTACATAATCTAAAGAAGCTCATCAATGTCAATGAATTGCTTATGTAGAAATTGTTAGGTTCATTGAAGTCATATAATACCAGATCAACACATAAAAAACTATTATCAAATTCATGGAGGCCGAACTAGTAGAAATAATAATAATAGCTGACCCTCCAGCAGGTTTTCAGAGGCTATGAACTGCACAGGAGGAGACGGCTCATTTCCTCCCACAAAGAAGCTGGTGAATTTGCCCCACCAGAAAAGTGCTGCATTTGGACTAACAGCACATCTCCCTACAGACTACATCACCAGAACTCAAAGAACTATTGAGTTTCTATACAAAAGGAATGAACAACTAATAAGAAAACAATTCCATTTATAATAGCACCTAAAAGATCAAAATACCTACAAATAAATTTAACAAGCAGGAAAATGAAAGAATTGTATACTGGTCTCTTCTCCATCCTCAGAAGCTGTGGGAGGAGAATCAAGAAAGAGAGAAAACCTGGCTGGATGGTGGTTGCTGATAAGTATCGTCAATTCAACTATGACTTACAGTGAGCCAATGACTAATGGACCTGAACCCTTCCCTATCCTACGTGATCCTCATCATCTCTGATATGTTTGAGTCCATTGCTGCAGTCACTATATAAATCTGTATCATTGAGGGTCGTCTTTTTTTGCTGATCGTTCACCTTTCCAAGTATGATACTACTTTCCAAGGAACAGCCTTTCCTTACATCCCCAAAGTATGTGAAATAAAGCTTCACCATCCTTATCGTAGAGAGGATTAAACCAGGCTGCTCCTTAGAGGCAAGGATTCTGGGGCTTCGTCTGACATACTTTGGACATGTTGCAAGGAGAGACAGGTCTTTAGAGAGGGACATCATGCTGGGTAGAGTGGAGGGACAGCGCAGGAGGGGAAGACCCTCTATGAGGTGGATTGATTCAGTGACTGGGGTACTTGGGATGGGTTTGTCAGAGGCAATGAGATTGGCACAGCATAGAGCACGGTTTAGGGCTGTTGTACATAGGGTCGCTATGAGTCGCAAGTGACTCGATGACATATAACAACAACAACAACATCCTTACCTGCAAGAAACACCCTGGTTGCATTTACTCTAAGATTCTGCTGCCAGTCCATGGGATATTCAGTACTTTTCTCCAACACCACAACTTAAAGGCAGCTA